TGCCAAAATGAGTAACATTTGTTAACGTACGCCTAGCTACTTTGTGACGTGCTCTTGTTTAAACTTTGTGGTGTTGACAGTGAAAAAAATACATATGCCATAACCTAAGCGGAAATAGTGGTCTACGTTTAACTTCATTCGACGAAATGAATCAAACGACAGCTGTTCGGAGCCGCTCGAATCCGACTGTTGTTGGATTTGACGATGTGCCGTAGTTGCGCAACTGTTCCAGCTCGAATTACTATGTTCATTTTACCGGACGGTCGGTTTAATTGGTTCGTATTCCGGGATATGCCAGGTTTGACAACCAAAGTCGACCTTCGTAGAAGAAAATCCTCACCGAGTTCCGATATTCACCTCCCCGTAGAACTGTGGTAGCAGCGTGATTGCGAATAGTTATTTTGCCTGGACCTATCTCCGCGACAAAATGGCGCGATCAATAAAAAACCCAGCTGACTTGTTCAACGACTGCATTGTGTGCACCCTGTGGGTTGCATAGGTCGAGCAGTGGATAACTCCTGATGAACTATACTGGATGAGTTGATATCCATGGCATCTGTACTAAACCACTGTACAGTAACTGAGTCGTTAATCTAAATATGGGAATATAACACTTGATTCATATCAAACATTGAATCACTGCTTTCTCAGTTGAAGAAAAAAACAGATGCTGCACTGCATGACATTGAGTTGTTTGGGCTCAGTTTTTCAGGATCATCACGAACGCTGGACAGACATCCAAAGTATGCAATATAATGAGACACTACCAACCGAAATATATCATAAAAAGCAAAACAAATTCAGGGCCAGCTATGTTGATGGGCCTTTATTGACATAAATACATTTGGATGTTCGTGAGAAACTTTCACGTTGCTAATCGGGTTTGAAAGCAGCAAACACTTTGACAAACACAGAACTCTCCAATTACCACATAGTACTCTACTAGTTCCGACACAATTTTGTTTCACGGGAAAGAAAGTCAGAAAGCAAGGCTTTAACCATAAGGAGTTAAAGTAAGTGCAGAAGTTCAACAGTTTTGGCATAAAGTTTTGTAAATTGCTGGTGGATGGCCTAACTGTTTGGAGCATACATTTTTACCAGGAATAGATATTTGCTTTCAGTGGACTGAAAACAGCTCCAAGTACTCAGGCAGAGGTGTAACCCGAAGCGATTGATACTTGTAATAAACTCCTTGAACGAACTTCCATTGTGTGGACCGGACTAATGGAGTCGTGGTTAGTTGGTTCCGATGTTCTAAGGATACGCTGCAGATAAGCAAACGCTGACCATATCACCGAAGCATTTTAAGGTGTGTCCTAATAGAATTAGTTTTACAGGAATACCTAATTCCCCAAACGGATGCGTCGCCGATCCGTAACAAACATTGGTATGACACCAACATGGTGAGGGATCTTCACACAATGCACGGGGATATTCTATCGACGAACAGGTCAGTGTGTGTTGGACTAACCAACCTGATCCAGACGAGGGCCGCCATGTTCATATGATCTCACCCTGCTCGTATTTGTTCTATGGACTTTCACTGGAAGCAACATGTACGGGGCCGGACCAGCAAACCAAGAACATATGAAGGAATTTTCAAACCAGTGAAACAACGGAGTCTTACTTGCGTTATATAAAGGGTTAACGAAGCCCGCTTAAAAATAATTTCGCCGTGGAAAAAACAAACGGCAGAATTTCGAATAGAACATAAATCCTTGTGCTCGTGCCATCAAATCCACAATTCATCTTTTATTCTTCCGCGAAGGGTCGAAGAGATCCGGTAAGACATCGGAAATTACCCATGGTAGCCAAGCAGCGCCATTTTTCGACCTAGTGTCATACCCAAATGATACCGATTGTTTGAAATGAATCAACTGCTATATTTCTCTGCTTAAGTGATCGACGTCATAGCACGCACTGGTTAGTTAGCAAGGATGATTCACCGTTCAGTAAAGATACAATAACATTAGAAAATCGGTCTAGAAGTCAGCACATTTACTGGTAATTCGCTAAAATTTGCCCTTTTCAATGCCACTCCATCCTAGCCAAACTACAGTCATCACACAGCCTTTGAACAGACTAACTGCATGAGCAGTCGCGCCATTTGGTGGCGGAAATAGATGAAAGTGAAACAAATATTCATCACTGCACCCTGCTGTGAGGAACGGATACGGTGAGAATTTCTCATGGCGTCGTGCCCTTTTTTGCCAGGTCTGTAGTAGCCAATTGTACAATGGGCTGTGAATGTTCTGGCTAACCAGAGAGCATGGGTTCGCAACCTACAGGTCAATACTCCCAAGTGCAGCACGACGTGCAATTCCTAGTTTTTCATCATACCCAACCCGACCACTTTTGGGGATTCTCCTTTGAGTCTCATCCACGTAGTTGTGCGAGAACGGAGATTATGGGACAAGACCGTACCATCTGCGTTTCAGCAACATATTTGCAGTCAGATAAGGCGACTTCTTTTTCTTTGTGCCAGAAATAACAGTGATAGCAGTTTTGCTTGCACAACTGGAAGCCGAACTTGGTCTTTCGGGTGATCTGAACGTGAACCGCGTCCACATGCGTTTGAAGTCCTATACTCGGGTTCAATAGACCTGACCACTGACGGTATTGTTGACGGATCTTGACTTTCACGAGTGAGTGCTTTGGTTGTTAGTTAAAATTCTGACCATTAGGAACATGAAAACATTGTCTGTCAACCTACCACAAGTGTATTTATTACGTTACAAAAACCACTGGCTCCCAAAGTCACAACACACAGTTATTCACCTCAGGCCGACGTATTTATTTTCCGCAAATATAAACAGTCATTTTTGCATCTTGCATTGCCACAATGGCATTCACTAAATTGTTTATGGCATTTTTAGACGGATACAGATGCCCGGAAAAAAGCAAAATCAACCACATATTTTGTCACAGACGACGTCACGTTCTGGGTTCAGGAGCATTCATTGTTGACCAGGACAAAACCGTAGATCTACTATACGGGGACGGAGAAGTGGAGAATGGCGGAAATTTCTCCAGTGTGAAAGCAGTTTACGATAGCCCTTTGAAAAACATGGTTGATTTCAAGAATATTTAGCTCAATTCATCTTATGTACCCATATATTCATATATATATATATATATATATATTCGTCAGCAGTATTAAAATGAGTTTTATTGGAATGATCCACCGAAGTACACTGATGTCTGCTTTATTACAGAACACCCGGTGCTGCGAAGAATTGTTTAACGTACCTTCTAGGCTAATCTGATTACCACTGTTCCGCAGTCAGAATTTTCGTTGTAGATTGGCTAATGACCTGTCCTCGGGGGGGAGGTTTGAGAACTCATCCCAACCGCGCACTGATGGTGTCCCTGCGGTTGATGATGAACCGCTTGCAATGAAATTGTCCAGCTCGGCGAACGAGTCAACAGCCAACTGATCTACCGCCAATTAAGGCACCCGACCTACCACTATTTCGATACATTGCAACCACGGCGTTTTAGGAGACTCGGTGTGTGTTTCACACATTCCGTGTGTATCTGTCAGCATGCAGTGAAACTTTGAAATAAAAGCGTGACAAGGAATGTGACATTCTACTTGATCGAAACAAATAAGTTCAACTGTATCGAGCAACATGATTTGCCCAGTGACATCCGATTTTTCAACACTCGTTGGTCACCGGACGCTCATCAACTCTCACCAAGCGCTCAACGCTGTAACCCAAGTTTAAATTGTTTTGACCTACAGAATAACCCAGATAGCATAAGCACATGATACACTTTTGTCACCCATCCCTAAAACCAATAAAGTGCATGTATTTTAGAGGTAGCACACTACTGATAAGGTTGCTAAAAACACTCTCTGACGGAGCACGACCGGCTTTTCCCTCTTTCAGACGCCTTAGGTAAGCACATTCTCTGAGTTCCCGTCAACTTTATATTCCAGTGGAACCCAAATTGGACGAAATTTGCAAAATAATCCCATTCGCATACGAATTTGGTTTTGACGAAATTCTCAACTTAACACAGTCGAATCTGTCGTTTACGAGGCAACCTGGTGCAGCACATTTATCTTGAAAGAGACTATCAATAATGACGGCTTCAATAGCAATCCGCTGAGTATCCCACGGAAACCGAATTTGTATTCAAATAAGAATATTTGTAGATTTTATTTTATTTTTAACGGCACTGTCTGTACATGCCTCATCGAAAATTGCTGTTGGCAAACCCGCGTGTCGAGAGCAACGGTCGATAAGGGTTAAACATGTACAATTCAGTCTGTAAGTAAGGGACTGGTACGTCACCTGTGTGAATGCTACTATCGATGGTTTGCTTAGGAATTGAAGTGCTACCGGAAACTGCTGATCCAGGGCACAGTGAAGAAACAAGCAAAAACAATAGAGAGTAGCTATGTAAAGCATGGCAAAGGTCACGAAGGAGTACCCAAAAATGATTTCGTGATGTGTAATCTGCTGGGATGGTAACAGCCGTTAATCCCTCCTGCTGCAAAGTGCGTGTCCAAAAACACTAATGCATATCATTAGATTAGGTGGCTCTCTAGTGACGACTGTTTGGGAGAGTACAGGCTCCACCGATTTTAATGTCCTGTTCCATCTTACTGACTCTCTTGGTGACAAGTGGTCCATGTTGGTGTCAAATAAAGATCTCTCATTTTGTACTCGCAAATCAACGCATATCACACTGTAGAGCTTTCAAAGGAAAAAAACTGAGACTTAAGTTAGAAAATGAGTTCCAGTAAGAGACAAGTGTTTAACAAAAGGAGGATACAGATTGGATGACTGCAAATGAAAAAGCTCATGCCAGCATGCCTGATGAACATCTTCGATACTCAAGAATAAATATCTGATAGTCGGTTATGTCAGGCACATGCAATCTCTAGCACTCCACGCGCAACAGAAGTATGACAATAGGCTCGCTCTGTGATATTCTGATGCAAATCTTGGCGCATACATCATCATGCCAGTGAGAACCTCATCACCTACCTTTGTCTTCTGCAATGCCGCTGCCATCTGTAAGGAGAGTATGAGCAACCGTTTCTTATAGATATTTTAATAACTCAACAACGAAAAACACTATTTTTTTACACCGTTTGTAAATGGTTCAATTGCATGCACTCATGCAATTATCCTTTTGGTTTGGAGAACAAAGAGTAATCCAGGAACTTGATCCAGGTCTGTGCAATGCTGTAGTAGAACTGACAGCAGATCTGGCGGCCAGCGGTAAGGTCGTGCAGTTTCGCTCGAAGACCATTCCATGAGATGTTACTATTGTTCAGCAAAGGGGAGATCAATACTGCTCAGCTGATATTGTACATGGTGTGCACAGGACCAGATCCCATTCTGACAGACAGCGCTTTGGTTTCTGTAGACGAATTGGGGGAACGACGAAGTATATGGTTATTCCGAGAAACCATGCTCAGTTTGGAAGTTAAAGAAAGATAAAGTCATCGTTTATCTGGCATGGTTTGTTCCAGAGCGGAGTTAATCACGGTCTAGTGGAGCTCTTCGATATATATGTACCGATAAGTATGGTTCTATAATATATCGAAACTCATATTGGTTATACCGATTAAAAAGTCTCGACAGACATGAAACAGTGAGCGAAAAGATATCTCACAGAACTAACTATATATGCGAGACAGAGTATTTATTGTAGTCGACGGATGGAGTTCGAGCTCGGGCACGGTTTGATAAACCATTTCATTTCCTTTAGTTCATTGGTGTACCTGGAACTCAACAGGAAATCCTAGAGTCTGGCTATGTACGCCGGTTCCAAAAGTTTTTGGACGAGACTTGATGACGAGAAACGCCCAGACAACCCGAATAACCTTCTTTTCTGCTTAGTAGCTTTTACCGTATGAATTTTTGAAACATGTGGACGATGTTTTAAGAAAACGCATAAAACAGGGTTGGTTTAAAGTGACAATAACGCCAAGGTGAGGGAAGCCAGTTGACACCGAGTATGCGTAAATCCATTACTTCTCAAGTGACATTTAACTGAATGACTTAGTCGGCCAGCCAGGTTAAGCTAATTTTAAACTCATAAGTTTGAGTGTCATAAGCGCACTAAAAGAACCACAACGATATCTATAATTATTTCTACATGCGTACACAGAAATTCACTTGAAAGAACTCAGCCACTGAAATCTAAAAACACCGTTATGTTTCTGTGACTGTTGTATATATTTCTTCACCGCTTATTTCTGTATTCGATATTGGGGGTTTCAGTTAAGTCTCCTGTCAAAGCCCAATAGGTGTGGAAATGACGGTATTCAGTGTATAATTTATCGAACTCACCAGTGACCAGAATTATTTAAGTAAAGGTTGCTTCGTGGACGGCAGTTCCTTCAGCCTCATCGACGCATAAACACAGACTGGTCAGTAATCGGTTAGCTGAGTTTTAGCAGCGCCATCACCACACCGCACATCGGGATAGCAAAACCCTATGCCTATAGGGGGAGCCGAACGCATATATGCTCACGCACAGCTTCTCTCCGCTTCACAACGCATTAGTGATATCAGTTCGATTAGTGCGGAAACGTTCGCAACAGAACTGCAAATCTCATTTTATGATTTGATCGTCAACCGGACCACGTGGTCTAGCATTTTATGCCAGACCGAATCAGCTGGTTGTTTCCAAGACTGATGGTAACGGTCCTGTAATCTAACAAACCTTGCTGATAGAAGGTAACAGGATGGACAGTTCTGTTTGTCCTGAACATCAAACTAAAATTAGCAAGGAACTTGTTGACAAAAGTTTCCGTGTACTCTGATGGTTTCAAACAACAATCGCTGCTGATTCTTCTGTGGCGGACACGTTGTTAGTTCAAGAACTGCGAAACGTGATAACTGTTGAGAGTGATGGCACAGTTCCAAGAAAATGGGATCACACCACCATGATTAGGGACAACTCCGCATTAGCTATCGGGAGATTTGTTTTCTACCCAGCGGTATTTGAATAACAATAAAAATCTACGACAGGGCCGCCTACGAGACAGGAAAAAACAAACTCTGTACACCGTTATCACACACGGCAGCAAGTAAACTAATTGCTCACTTTTTTCCACGGTACGAAAGTTAAGCGTCTCTTATTTTTTGTGTGATAAGAAACGAGCCGGGTACAACTACCAGAGCGCGTTACCGACAAAGTTGAATCAAAGCTATTCAAAGGCTAAACTTGGTCGTGATTTGTAGCGTTTGAGTGTGTTCTATAGAGATCGACGCAAAATTTTAAATGTTATATCGAGTAATAACTAGGGAATGTTTATATAGATCAATATAACCATTTATCATCGTGTCTTTTTTTTAAGCGGATACACTTCGAGAACTACATTTGCTTGCCAATTGGACTGATGTTGACAGGAAAATTAACTAACTCTCTTGTTTATGGACTTCTTCCAACGAATGTGCTGCCCTAAGGAGGCCTGATTTTTTAGTTGTTCAACATTAGAGGCATAGCAGCATATTCTTTTGACATGAGATACCACACATAAGTCTGGGGAGTTTTTAACCACTTTCTGAGTGGTGGATTATGTCAAGAAAATACGTTTCATATTTTCCTGAAAAAAACTGAGCCAGTTCGTAAACTAACTGAGAATACAACCGTAAATTCTACAAGACTCTACAAGGATTCGATCGTCTTTTATCGCGTGTAACAGTGTTGGCCCTTGATGTGGGACGGCAGTTTAGAGAAATCTAAACTGTGAACTCAAGGAAACAGTCCAGAAGAGGAGATATACCCCTTGGGCATTATCCGAACCCACAACCTGTGGCAGTCATCGACTGTTGACAAAAAGGCCACCATGTGGCGAGCAAGTGTGAACTCAGCTGCACATTTGCGGAAAGTTATTTGGTGTCCTTGTTCGGTATGCAGGAAATCACGAGTTAAAGTCCCATCGAAGAAAACTATCTTTTCGTGTACATTTTCAAAATCTGCCTTCCATCGATGCACGCAAAGTACGAGTTGATACCCGTGAAAATTGAATTACTTCCTAAATAAGATCACTGGATATCGCTCCACATTTAGATAAGTGAATTTCGCAAGTCGCAGAGGGAAGACTTGGTGTAAAATCAAGAATCTGAATAAGGTAGAAGAGAGAGTGGCAGTCAGTTCATCAATCATCGGTGTGGATTCTGCTTTCCGAAGCTCAATAAATTTAGGACAAATAACTCAGATCCTGTCAAACTGCAAAGGAAATGAATTTTTCGGTAGACAAAATGCAAATATCCGAGCTATCCAAAGAAACAAATGCAACAAGATATTCTTAAACAGGATGAATGTGTGCATTAATTACGTTAATGAATGGTTGATAAAACGTACGCCAGGGGAGCCGTGCAGCGCGAGCAAGTAAAACACCAGCGATGTAAAACCCGGCCAATTAGATTATATCGATCCTCTGCTTTCACTGGTTTGTAGCAGACGTTGCAGAACCGCTCATTACTCTTTTCAGCATTCTGTAGTATCTGAAGAATCTGAAGTACAGAGGGTTTGAGAATGGCTTGTTTGCATGCAGTCGTTCTGTTTGCTAACAAGATAATAGTGTGGACAAAATAATTAGGAATCTTCCCATGTCAGAGTACTTTAACTCGACTGAAGCATTGATGAGAGCAAAAGCTACTACCGTTAAGGCAACGAGTACATGACGACTCAAGTAAGATTGAAGTAACTGAGCAAACGTCCTGTTTATTAGATGTGAGTTTGAGCTTTGCCTTCACCTCATTCCTTCTGTTGAAGACTGCACACTTCTTATTAGAAAAGTAAAAAGACCTCCGATTGTTAAATATCATCTTCAAATTTATTGCCCACAATTGAAAAAAAGAACAGCTTTTGTTTTAAATTTCATAAAGGAAACTACTCACTTCGGAATCTCGAATAGTGTGCTAATTGAAATATGAGGTGGCCTTTGTGCAGCACATAAAAGAGAGTTTCAGTTGAGTCCCCCGTGAAAACCCAGTTGATATACAAATGAGTATTTGTTCTAACTGAACCCAGACACAAAGTACAAGGACGTGATTCGATATAAGTGAGTAGGTCGACCACATTAATCACATTAATTCACACATCGGAGTGAGGTTTGAGGATTTCTTTTTCGTTAACGAAAGCCTCATTGTAATCCGGTTTAAAGTAATGACGACCGTGGTTTAAATCAGTGGTTCATAAACCATTCAGTTCACCGCCTTACAATGTCCCCACTCTCGATTTCGCCACGCCCTCATTTTTATGCGGAAAAGGAACAGAACAAAGTCGGACTAATCATAAGAGATCCATCCGATCAAGTACTACTTTCCCTTATGGCAAGCTGCGTTGGAAGACCAGAGCAATTCTGTGGGACACATGCTGGCATCCACCAGTCTCCATGTTTTCAATGTGTTGTTTGAACTTCTAAGTGAAACTAACAGTTTCAGATTTTTCAAAAATGGAATGTCCATATGGTAAGGGCAGAAGGTCAAGGACTTTGACTTGAAGATGAGAAGCCGGAAGAGAGGTTGATTGAATATCCAACAAAATCCCCACGGCCACTCCAGTCTTCTTGGAAAATAACGCTCTTAGCCGGTTCTCCTATGAAATGGATAGCCTATTTAACTTCTTATCCGGGAATTAAAACAAACCCTGATAATACATTATACGCAAATAACGGATATGCTATGGGGCGCAGCTAAAATGTTTCATTAGTTAAGGACCTGATTCATTGCCAAGGGGGTATCGCCTTTCTTAATAGCTCTAGATTTTCATAAGAAGGTAGAACAAGCACCACCAAGTAATACTAACTTTCATGCGTTTTAAAATGCTGAGTTTTGTATGTATACAACACATCTGTCAAAGATTATAACTCACCGTTGTATTATCTCGGTTATCGGGACCTTTGAATTGTCTGGTCACCGGCACTTCAGGAGGTAGTGGATGGTGGACTGGATCTTGGGAACGATTCGCGCGGAAGTTTTCTGCACCATCCTATTGAGATAATAAAATCAACACATTGAAAGGAAAACGTTGGCTTAGCAGACCGTCAAGTGTAACTCTATTTTGTTCTGTATTCACAGCAGGATTACACAACGAAATTTCTCTTCCCAATTAAACCTTTAGGCTCTTCGAAGTCACCAGCGCTTCTGAGACAGAAATTTAAGGCAGCGAATTAGCTAACGAAATTCACTGCCAGCCGACTGATTGACAACAGCCTAGAGAACAATTTCCAATTAGGGGGCAGGCACATGATCATCCAATAATCCTTTTATGAATTTCAACGCTAACTGGGAATCTCAGGGCATGATTACCGGAACGAATTGAAAGATGGCACCTACACGGTTTGCAAAGTGGAATCTTCAAATATCCACCACTAGATGTTGCAATTTTAGTGTCAAAAGGAATGATACTTAAAACGGTAGTAAGGTTTTCAAGGTTCACCTAGTCATACGTAATAGTATGGATTGGTTGTAGATCAGGTGGCTGCTGATCTGTTGGCCCAAATTTGAAAAACCAAGTAGTTTGGAGTTATTTCATCCTTGTCGAAAAATATTACCGGTGTGCATCGCAGGAACATATGGGGACGGGTTTGAACCCCTGACCTCCCGACCAGTAGTTGAACTCTGTACGTTTGGTCACGAGTAGCTGTTTGGCGGAGTTCTTATCTCATATAGACAGGACATAGCGCCAACTATTCGTCAACCACTTAGCTCATATCACGTGGTCATGTGTGGACCGGCTGCTCGACGGGAAGCTCATGTAACCAATGAGGTGCTTTTCTTTCCGAGCAGATTACTAGTAGTTTTGGTGATGGTATAATAAGACCCTGAGATTTCAAAACCTCAGCATGCTATCATCAAGATCACTAGCTGTCGAGTTTCAGCTGATAACCAATGTCCTCAAATGTTATCTAGGAATCCATCTTTGCACCTTTCATTCATATTTAACTAGAGACCGATAAAAACCATTTTTAATTGACCTGATAACGGGACTAACGGCTGTTGACATTTTCCGCTAGTAAATGAAGTTAATGGATATTCAACAATAACGGATATGTGAAACGTTCGATCCGGATGGAATGAAAAATTCTCTCCCATCATTACGACTACCGTACAGAACAGTGGAATACAGTGAAATATCAGTAAATTAAGACGGTCTTCCGATACTTGTTTACTTTGATCAGCATCATACTAGAGGGCGCGTACGTTTCAAAGACCTTCTTGAATCCACAGACATGATTCGAGGGACAGGAAGAAACAGTACCCAGCTTTCACATGCCTGATTTTACCGAATGGGCACCTTTGAAGGAGTTGAGTAGTATAAATGTGGTGTGGCCTCGTGCGGGAGCGACTTGTACTACTCTAGAGCGGATCTAGCGAGGATACAGATACAATTACCTATACGCAAATACAAGTGAATATTTCTAAAACCCCACTACTCGCGAAATCCTTCAATAAATGGCCCTTAAACCGGATTCAAAACGCCTTATAGTCCGACCCCATTCCCTAATTTTGAATCTAGTTAAAAGTATGAGTCATTAGGTTAGTGAATATAAAATAATGTGAAATAGGGGATGAAGAGGTTGAGGCGATTTAAACATTAGACGAACTGGATCAACAGTCGGTAATTGTGTATTGGTTGTCATAAAATGGCGTTTAATTTCCCACGAACGTTAGAAACTTCTAACCTTGTCAAGAAGGTTTTCATACGGCCTAGAAACTTTAGTTTAACTCATATTTCGTATTCGGTAGAAAGATAAATAACCCAGTTTCACAGCTTTCTTATGTACCCAACCATGTACTGAAGGTTTTATTGACTGATGGAAGGCTCACCTGCACGAGACCGCTTGACTTTTCCCGTGCTCATCAGACGGATGCCTACGAATTGGTTTCGCACCGGCTGAATGGCAGGTTGTGACCGCTGATCCCAAGATACTCTGAGCAAATTAGCAGATGTGGGTTGTTTGTGATGGGGTTTTTATAGCTATGTACAGTCGTGTGACTAAGCGCGTTACACGCAGGGCCTCCGTACTGCGGGTTGCTGCGCAGTTTCGATGTCAATGGTCCACTACGGTGGGCACAGCGACGGCTAGTCCTACCTCCTAAACCTTCCCTGGAAGAATTTGACATGTAGGGTTGTTTCACGGCAAGTCATACACCTAGACTTTTTACGGTTACTCAAGATTCATTCCTCAGGTAATTTTTTAATACCAGAACCATGAAATTCGGACTCTGTTTCACGCAGCCACATGATATTTCGAAGTTAATTTGATGCTGTCTGTAAGATTCCCAAAGCCACGGCACTTATACCCCATTATTAATGTGAATAGACCTAATCGAACACCCCTTCAAAGTCCAGAGTACAGTAGTTACTATTCATCATGAGCATAATCGTTCGATAACCAATCGTGGAACAGAAATAAAGTCTGTTACTTACGGAGGGGATAACTTTGCAGAGAGGGAGTAAAGTTGGCTACGTTTATTGCTCACACTACGTCAGGCGGAAAGGTTTGTCTGATCCAAAGCGTGTTTGGAAGTTTTATTATGCGTCCAATTTATGAGTCTGAATTGGGGCAATACACATTGTAGATCACATTCCTACAGACTGTCCACGTGTCGCGAAATACTTTCAGTTGCAAACTATTTCGTTTTTAGTGGAAGAGTCAACTGAGGCTTCCATATATGATAGCCCTCATCTGAGGCCCCTTGATCTTTCATTTGGGACGATATTTGAGATATTACAGTATATATTCTTCATAAAAGACTATTCGGGGGAGTGTAGGATTCTCTTCGATAGTACGAGAAGGACGAAACCCGTCACAGGCTATCAAAGAATTTTCAATCTTATGTGTGGTATGTTCCTGCCTTTGCCTGTTTAATCACCATTCTATCTGATGAGGAACAGCTCATAACTTCAGGGAATATAGTGCACCGTCATACGAAAGCATTTTCTCCCCGCAACCTTTACTCAACCGAATGGACTCTGTCAATTACTATAGATCTGTTCGTAATCTAACGTTTCGGAGATAAGGCGCACCACAAGGGAAAATGTTACTGGAATTTCCCCATGTTGTAAATTCAAACAAAAAGGGATCACCGGGATGCGCAAATAACATTTAACGCAAGACCAGATTCAATACGGATTCAGGTTGTGGGGACAGAGATAGTGTACAGTGTTACACGTCCAAGGTATAACATTTATTCCAAGAACTCACCCACGAGGGATCCAAGCTTCGTGCTTTCTGTCCCCGATCAACCGGACTGGTCCTCTGCACCGAGGACCGCAGGCTGACACCAGTTGGAATTTGGGACTGCCTTGTTGTTTCGGGCGCCCTTGCATCCAAATTTGCAGGTTCCAGAGGATAAAGAATGGGGCTCTGTCCAAAAACTTCTGACACTACACGTGGTTGGATAATGGGACCGCTAATTTCTAGTGTAGATGTTTTGGATCTTCCTTTGGATCTGGAACGGGATCGACGCAAATCAACTCGGGCAGCCACTGCTTCAAACAGCCGGCGTCGACGAGACTGTGAACGACTGTGGCGGAGTTCGGCTTTATCTTCTCCTCCAGCAAGTGTTCGCATATCTGCTACGCTGGCACTAGGTTTATTCTTCTTTGATTTATTTCTCGCCTTTCGAGGCGTGGTCACTGCATGCATCGCAAGCCGGGGAGTTAGGGACGGGGAATAGCATGCAACAATGTGACCTCACGTCTCGCATTGGAAACAAGTGAGATGTAGACGGGTAAGAAACATGCCATGAATTCGCGAAAACAGGCAGGTCATTCGTTACATTCCAGAGGACAAAAATGCAAACTAATGGCAATTTCGATACATTTGTGGAGTTACTAGAAACCTTGAATTAAGCATGAGATCGATGGTTGGTTTCCATGCTGTGAAACTCAAGGAAAATCTGACATGTTCAAATTTTTGTATTTTTTGGTTCGTTTATTTATAGTGAAACAGAATTCCCAAAGGCACCAAGCCACAAAAATTCAGAGACTTTGACAAAGGACATTAGCTAGTTTGGTGGCTCATCTCTACCTCAATCTAAGAATTTTAGTCTCGTGAGCAAGCAGTGGTGCAAACTGGTGTGTCTTCTGCTCGACCAAGACTACAGGTACTGATGGTGAGGTGGCGGAAAGGTCCAACTATAGATAATACCGCTTTATTCCACACTCCTCTTGGATCGATTTCACTGAAGCATGAAGTTCCCATTCTGCCTTATACTCTGGCGCAAATCCTGTGACTTCGTTGTTGTAAGTGCCCCAATGTTATGTGCACTCACACGATATCGGACCGTAGATTTTAACGTCAAATTCTGAATTTATAATGGTTTCGGCTAACGACAAATGAGTCGGTTGGCTCACTCAAAGCAGAATCTCTCTAACTTAAGCTGGACTACGTGACAAAGCTGCAGAACCGGCATATATTAGAAGCTAAATTGAAGAACATTTTATACAAAATGCCTTCGGTTCCGTTGACCCTGCTTACGGTCATTGGTATGACCAGTGAGCTCGGCAATTTGATTTCAAACTTTTCAACACCAATCTAGGAAGTCAGAATGTTGTAATCAAACCAAATAGTTGTATTCTAATATTCAAAGACCATAACGGTCTAATTCAAATATGTTTGGAGAAGTCATCATACGACACTAGCGTGCAAATTCATTTCGGCTGAATACTGTCGAGTTATGTTGTTCAGAAACATTGTGGCGCATGTAACCACTCTGTTTTTGGTACAACAAATCTATGGAATTCTCTTCAGAACAACGAACTGAGGGAATATTTTGGCTGCCAAATTAAAATGAACGGCGATCTTCACTTATCGCTCTTTTTTTACAAAGTATACCTTGTCTTCTTACTCATGACCCAAAATATCAATGGCACGAACAACTTAACTCTGAAAGCCACACTCTTTCCTACCAATAAACTCTGATCGACCCAGTAATTTCACCCTAGCCGAATGTATATGGCATTGTTTCTCTCTGTCT